CGACCCCCCTGCTACAACCCCCTCCCCAGAGCGGGGAATGAAAGGGTTAACTTCCTAACTCCCCAGAGCGGGGAATGAAAGGGTTAACTCTCTAACTCCCCAGAGCGGGGAATAAAAGGGTTAACTCCCTAACTCCCCAGAGCGGGGAATGAAAGGGTTGACTCCCTAACTTCCCAGAGCTATCAGAACAGAGCAGTAAAGAATGCTTCACTCCCTAAACCTTTCCCAGGAGATAGTCAGAGCAGGGCCAAAAGGAATGTCTCTGCTAGTCATTAACCACTAGATGTTCTGTTCTCTGTAAAGATAGAGATAAGCAAAAGAATGTACTGTATAAACAGGACCAGGGAGCACCTGGCACTCTAAGGTCAACCCAAGACCCTCGGTCTCCATGGTTACTCAGCCCCAGACCCTCAAATCAGCATTAGCCAGGTCCTGCGCCGCTCAAAATTAACCAATGCGATTTGCTTCTGTAAACTTACTTGCCTCCTGCGTGTACCTTTAAAAACCCTACACAAATTCCCCTCGGGGCCCCTCCGCACACGTTTGCCTGAGGGACCCCATGTGCATGGAAATAAACTTTCTTTTCCTCACCAAGAGCTGAGTCCTTGGGGTCTCTTTCCCTGCGGCGTTGGCCCTAACAATCCCTGGTAACAAACAAACAAACAAACAAACAAACATGTTCAGTGCCAAAAATTTAGAAAATAGAGAAATTCATCAGAGCAGTTCAAACCACTCCAGCCTTTACCTGTTGGTCACTACTTGTAATGTTTTGTTGAATACACATTCATTCTCACTTCTAGGCTCTTTAGGCTCTGTGTTTATTTAAAGACACCAATGCTGCTTAACCACTTTTTAAAATTCAATAATAGTTTGCAAACATTTCTTTATATTTGCAGGGTTTTTTTTTTGGGGGGGGGAGGTGGTTACCGGGGATTGAACTCATGACCTCGCACTCACCAGGCAGGTGCTTATATCACTGAGCTAAATCCCCAGCTGCAGGCATTTTTAAAAACCATCTGTACTGGACTGACTTGTGTTTCACCCAAATTTATATCCACCTTTAGCAACAGAATGTGACCTTGTTAGAAACTAGATCCTTGCTAACACAATTAGCTAGGATAAGTCATACCAGATGACAGTGGTTGCTAAATCCAATGAAGAGGATCCTGATAAGACGGCCACACACAACACACAAAGAAGACATGATGACCGAGGTAGAGAGGCAATGATGGACCAATAAAGCCAAGGGACACCCAAGAATTCCTACAGCTACCAAGATTAGGGAGAGCTACAAGGCACCCCCTCCAGCAGGGAATGGCCCACCTAATACCAGATGTCAGACTTTCTACCTCTACAAGTGGAAAACAGTTTTCTGTTTTAATTCATCTGTATGGTGATAATTTGTCACAGCAGTCATGGAAAATAAATACATCATCCTTTTAAAGCTGCATAATATTTCACTGCATTATTTTAAAATAACATAAAATTACCTAAAACATTATATGAGTCTCCTAGATTTGGGGCATTTTAATTGCTTTTAATTTTCCATTTGTAAAATATAAATAAAATAAACCCTCAGACATAAGTGTTTTCCCACATCTACATTATTTAGAAAGAAATGAATAATTTCCTGATAAAAGCTACATGCTATATTAAAACTTTGTCTTTTATTATTTAGATATACCTTTGTTTTAATTATATCATCAACAGAAGCAGAATCACTGTTATTTATGTAACTTATATGGGTACTTTACACACCGTGGATAATTGACCCAAATTTTAATTTGGTTAGTTATCTACTGTCCTAAAAATTTTGTATTTCTTATGTAATCAAGGAACCACCTGGAAGTTGTATAACTTATTCACTTAAACTTATATTTTCATAACAGTATTCATCTTAAAATTTTAAAACATTTAGAATTTAAGATTAAAAAATGTGGAAATTGTCTGACTTTAGTTCCATGTTGGTTGGTTTCTATCAACTGAAATCTTTAATGTTTTGGGCTTAATTCCTAAGACCTTCTAAGGTCAGTTTGCTCATATTCCTTATGTGAAAATCCACCATTACAATCTGATAGTCTATTTTAGTTTTTGGTGGAACAACTGTTGCTTATTCCATTCATCTTTTTCAAAAGTGTCTCAGTTACATTCATCAATTTATTCTTTCACGAAAACCTTACAATTACTTTATAAATTTTATTTTGCAAGTTAAATATGTGATCAAAATTTATTTTGACTGAAACTGGATTGTCTGAAGAGAAGTGAGTTCCATCCAATCCTATTAAATATCTCTCTAGCTACTGAAATCCTTATTTTAGTGATTCCCAGTAGTCTTATAATTACTACATATTTCCGGATGAGTTTGTTCCTGGATATTTTATATTTATTGTTCTTATGAAAATGAAAACTACTTTTAACAGATTATTGCTAGCACACAGAAAATCACCAATATTTTGTGCATCTAGTCTCTACTTTAGAAGCACCAAATCATTACATCTTTGCTCTTCATTCTCTGTTCCTCTGATACAATCTTTTCATCTACATTAGGGACTGCAAAACCATAGCTCACAGACTGACATAAAGAGAGCCAAGAATTATTTTTTCACTTTTAAAGGGTTAAGAAAACAAATAAGCAAGGTCCTCAGTTGAATTCCCTATACCACAAAACAAAACAAGGTAGAATCTTCGTTATACGTATATATGTATATGCAAATGAGGAGTAAAATAGAAGACAGATAAACAGGAAGTGGGGAGAGGTTCAGAGGGTGCTCCAAATTTCCTATTCCATTGTTTCAAAAAATTTTAACATATATACTAATTCATTTCATTTATACTACTAGTTTCTCTTAGTTCATGGAAGAGAAAGTTTTGTACTATTTTCTGTTCCTTTTTTATAAGAAAGACTTTTTTGTTGACGTCTTGTACTCTAAGTAACTACATTGAAGATAATGATATACAGTATATTAACTACTGTTCTTTTATCTTACTGTGAAATTTTATTTTATTGTTTCACAAAAAAATGCAAGACACTTTTACAATGCCTAAAGCTGTTTGCCTTCTAGCCCTTCATAGGAAGTTTGCTGAACTCAGATTATCTTCACTAAAGAGCTTTTCTAGTTTCTTTTTTGCAATTCTATTTCTACTTTTGTTAATGTTGCCATTTCTGCTGTCAGTTCTCTACCACTGCTTGTACTAAAGATTTTAATTTTTGTTATATTTATAGGTTCTTTATGTCTCTTTAATTCATACAGTGGTCACTGCATTTCAGTATTTCTTTTACAAAGAACATTTATTTTCTTGACTTCCTGAAACATGCTCCTGTGAGCCATTTTCTCTCACTGGTCAGTAGTTTTGCATAAGACTCTGGTGTCCTGCTGTGCGTATATTTCCTCCTGATGCATGTTTGCATGCTGTGAAATCTCGCTAGACTCAGACTGCATAGGTTCTCTTTCTAACTACCTAGGCACAGGCAATCTACTGTCCCAAATATGTTACTTGTGTGCACATTTAAGTGCCACACTTAGGACAACTTCTGGCTGAGTTTTCTCTATAGCAGGGGCCAGCAAACTATTACCCAAGTTCCAAATGTCCTGCTGGGCAGAGTGATTATTACCATTTTAAAGAAGATTACTAAAAATGTCCAAAAATTAAGAATAATGTGCCACCATGTGTTAGCTTTCTGTCCCTATGACAAGATATTTGAAATAATTAACTATAAAGAGGAAAGATTTATTTTGGCTCATGATTTCAGAGGTGTCAGCCCATCATCACTTGGCCTTGTCACTCTGAGCCTGAAGAAGCACTGCACATCATGGCAGAAGTGCACAGTTGTGGAAGTCTATTTTCTTCGCGATGGCTGAGATACAAAGAGAGAGGGGAAAGGGCCATGGCCCAAATATTTCCTTCACGTGCATAGCTCCAATGACTTAACTTCCTTCTACCAGGCCCTGCCACCCAACTGACCATTCCAGTTGCATCACTAGTTAACAAAGAGATCTTTAAACATATGGGTCTTTTGGGTGGATACTCTAGATTCAAATTATAGCAGATAGATATCCTTCATGGTACAAAAAGCCTGAAGTATTTATTATTCAGATTTAGACAGGAAAAATTGGCAAGTGCTGTCTAGGAATATATTATCCTGTATCCACGGGGAATTGGTTCCAACACCCCGCAGAGACAAAAATCTGTGGATGTGCATGTCCCTTGCATAAAAAGGTGTGGTATTTACAAATATCCTACATCTACCTCCTTGAGTACTTTAAATCACCTTAGATTACTTATAAGACTGAATATAAATGCTATATAAATAAGTTGTTATACTAATGTTGAGGAAATAATGAGAAAAAAAATCCATGTCTGTACATGTTCACTACAGAGGCAGATTTGGGGAACTTTTTCAGTAAGTATTTTTGATTTGCAGTTAGTTGAATGCACAAGTATGGAACTAATGCATCTGGGGGGGCAACCGTCTGCACAGATAGCTTCCTGTCTTACCTCACAGCTGGTATTCAACAGATGCAGTGCATCCGAAATCTACAGTCCCTGAGTTTCCATCAGCATCCTGCCCACCTGAATCCCCACCTACCAAGTTTTATTCACTGGGGCTACATTTTAGAAGCAACCACTCTCCCTTTAATTTTTGGCAGCTTATTTTTTGTATGCTGCTGTTTCTTTCCAGAGATATAAGAATGAATGGAACAGTTGTGCATGCAAGGGAAGAAGTATTAGAGGGAAGAAGTTAGGATGCTGGGGACCTTTTACAGATTGATACCTATGGGGAGGAGGGTGGCTGCCTCATTTGCAGGTTACAACAAACTTTGGATAGCTGTGTAAAGAGTCAAAATGGGAGGTATGAGCTTTCCTGTTCTTTTCTTGATAAGAAAAAAAAAATTCATTGCCAAAAAATGAAAAATCACCAAGCAAAGGTTTAAAAATTATAAGACAAACATGATGATCTGTTCATATATGAAGTAAAAAAACATAACTATTAAAGTTACCTGTAATCATGTATTATTTTTCTGGCATTCTCTAGTTGTTCGTTTGTTAACAGAATGTTTCTGGGGTCAGTCACAGTGAAGAAATGGTTGGCTCGTCCCACGAAAGTGCTTTGATCCCATCGAGGCTCCTTGATGTTAATGTTCAGTGGCAGCTCCCCAGACATCTTTGCGGACTGCAGAGAGGCACACAGACAGCTCTGGGTAACATCGTGCTATCTCTCCTTTAAGCAAAGATTTATATGCTCTTCCTATTTGTAAATATAATTTTGCTCCAAGTGGCAGAAAATGAACAAAATCAAAGCCGGCTATTAATCTCAATGCATCTTAACAACATTTCAACAGTTTTCCATATATTTCACCTCATTCCTTACTTGTTGGAATTCTAAGCATACCTTAGAAAAAGCAGAAATATAAAGTTTTAAAGTAGCATCAATAATAATAGCTTTAGAGTCACTCAGAAAAACGGGTGCACCTTGAGACCATAATACAAAGTGAAACAAATCAGATGCAGGAAGCAAAATATTGTGTTTTCTCTTTAATGAGAAACCAATTAAAAGATGCATGGCAGGAACAGATATTGTGGAGGTGGGATTAGGTAGGAAGGGGAGAGGTAAAAAAGAATCAAGTGCAATACTGTACCAATTCCTCATAGTGAATGTACTTATTCTATATCACAATATATACTAATAAAAAAAAAAAGAAAAACCAAAAAAAAATTTTTAAAACAAAGCTAAAATCTGTAAATTTGAACCCATTTTTCTGAGTGAAACAACAAACGTTAAATTACTGCTGCATTTTGATCTACAGTTTATTACTCCTACGAGACAAAATAGTGATGCAGAAAAAGGAATCAATAATAAAAATTATACAATTCACAAAAGATTCAGACTCATATTCATTCAGTCTTGCCTGGCATATAATCCACTAATCAAAGTTATAAATTACGTCCCTTGATTTACTACAACATAGAGGAAGAAACACATTCTGACGGCCTCACGAATAGGAACAACACTATAGCATATAATTTTTCTCATAAAATGTCCATTTTCTGAGTCATAGCCATTACTTTTTCCCTATAATAATTAATTTCTTTCTCTAACATATGCTTATTTTAGAACTGCATTATAGTGTTGTAATACATGCTTATTGTAGTATTTTCAAAAATCAAGTGTATTATAGAAAATAAGGAATAAAGAAGCAAAATCTGCCACCATCCAGCCACTCTGAGGAAACCACTGTTAATGTTCCTAGCAAGTTAATCCCAGTATTTCCTTAATTGCAGTATTTCCTTGCAAGCATTTTCTATGTGTACTATCAAATAATTAAAAAATAATTTGATGTTATACTCTATTTGATTATCTTCTTTTTTTTTGTCTTTTTCCTTTTTATCGGTACTGGGGATCGAACTGACGACTGCCTGCTTTCAAGGCAGGCGCTTATGCCGCCGAGCTAAACCCCTAGCCCCTGATTATCTTCTTTGCATTTATTTTATGAATATCCTCTGTGGCATTAAATGTTCATTTTGGATATATAATGACACTTTCAACTTTCACGTTATTTCATTTTTGCACCAGTGTATATAATCCTGTGTCCTTGTCTACAAATCTTTTTCCTCATATCTGATGATTTTCTTGGACTTGATCTCTATGAAGGATGTTGCAATATCGTCAAACCTAATCACTATGAAGACTTCAAACTATTTTTTGTTCTTGGACTTGTTTCCTTTACTTCCATTTCTAATATCAGTCCTAGTCATAGCTTTCTTTTCCAGGTCAATTTTCATTAAATTACTCCTTTCGTGGTTTATATGTTCTTAGATGTGTTAAGATGAGACACATTTGTAACCTGTAGTTTATCAATATCTTCAATTAACCACCAGACTAAAGTTGAACATGTTGGTTAGGCCCAAAGATATGTGGACTCTTAGTGTAAGTGAAACACCTAAACAGAAAAAGACAAAGTAAAAATCGGCTCTGCAAATGATAAAGCAGACTGGGATAACAAGATAAAGTCAGCTGCAAAGTTTAGGGGAAACCACATTTTTCTCAAGCTTTTAAGTGTCATGACAGCCACTGTTTATCATCCACTGTTCTCTATAATCCTAGGTGGTCAGAAATATTGCTGTTTGAAATCACAAGAAGAAAACGACACCCTTCCTCTGACATTGAAGGGGACACTAGCTTTTCTAGTCCAGAGAGGAGTAGGTCTGGTGTAGGAGATGACCTGGGTGACTTGCCTTGAATGCACAACTGCTTCAGCAATCATTAAACTGAACCCTGTCTCCATGTATGTACGGAGCTCGCTATGCTATTTCCTTTGCCTGTAATTAGCTCTAAGCAATGCAACTAGGCTAGCCAAGGTACTGATATGTAATCCTTGAGGCCAGCTGACAGCTTCCTCTTTCCCTGCATCATCTTTTCTAGAAATGTTTGAGCACAGCAGGATGGTAGAGCCAAATAGCCCCAGGAATATCAAGTGGGTTCAAACCATAAGATAAGAGGCTGACTTCCCAGAGCACAAAATGTTACATAGCAGAAACTGAAGTAACAGCTTCCTAAAACCATTCAAATGCTTTCCTAACCGAGTTATGCAGACTGGTCTCTCTGCATACCCTTCTCCCTGAATACTGCAGAGGTGCTTGCTCTCTGCCTGGCCAGCTCAGCTCATCTGACTCACATAATTCCTGTCATCCTCACTGTCACTCATCCTCAACCCACTCCATTTATTCACGAGATAAATTCAGGGGGAGGCCTCAGATCAAGACCTCTGTTCCATGTATCCTCACCTGGACTGGATTCAGACCCCTTGGTTGCCCCTAAATTTAAGTATGTCTAAGTGTCTTTATTTTGCCATGGGTTGCATTGGAGGTGTTAGATTGGAATTAACTTGCTGGGATTCCAATAATGTTTCAATGGGATTACAAATGTAAACTTTCTGGACCCCAAGGAGGACAAGATAAAGGATTATAATAAGGGATTAAAATATTTAATATTGGGATTATAATAAAGTGGTAGTTTCATCTTAAGGAATTTTGGACCACAATATTCCGCATCCTATCTTAACTTCACAGTTTCCAGGGAGATGAGAATGTGGGTCTACTTCACAGCCAAACTTCTAAGCACTGACCTGCTTTGAGCCCATGAAAACACTGCATCATTGAATGCCCCAAGCTCCACCACTGTCCGTCCTACTACTGCAGACCTATCTCTTCCTTCGGTTCCTCTGCCAGGTAAGCTTCCTTACTGTGACAAATATAACTTTAGTGGGTGACAGGTTTGCCCTGCTTATCTTGGCTGACTGGATTATGATAAGACATACTCAAACTTCAAATCACGACAAATCAAATGTGCGCATGTTAAGTCCAGGGATACAAGAAATATGGTATAGCAGCTTCCCCTTTATCTGACGAGAATGCATTCCAAGGTTGACCTGAAACCATGGGCAGTATTGAACTCTATATACATTACATTTCCCCGTATACAAGCATGCTTATGATAAAGCTTAATTCAAACTTTAGGCACAGCAACAGATGAACAACAATCAGTGAAGAAAGCAACTATATACTGTAAGAAAAATTATGTGAATATGGTCACTTTTAAAACATTTTCTTGTTTGCCTAATTTTCCATTTAATATTTTGGGCCATATTCAACTATGGTTAACTGAAACCATAGAAAACAAAACCACAGTTATCAAAAGGCTATGTGGAAAAATGCTTAAATTTTGAATTAGAATACATCAATTATATTACCTATACACCAGACAAAAAGAAAAACGAAGACTTCAGTTTATACAGAGGAGAGTGGTGGTTTTTAGACTTGTGCCCAGAGACCACCTCAGTGATTGTTAGGCAATGACCTGGCCCCTCCAAGCCCTAAGCTTGTCTCAACTCTAGCAGATCTGCTCTGACTTGTTTTCATGTCTGTTTCAGGATGATGGTTATTTGACAACAGTGCTTGGAAAACAGGATAAAGTTGATAACCATATGAGAAAAGCCAATCTGAAAATCAAGGAATAAGTATTTTTGGCATCTTAAAAGTTTGAGATCCGTTCGACTAGTGCTTCTCAAGCTATATGTGATGGATGTCTTGAATGGTTTTTCCTTTTTTGTTTTCTTTCTTTTGTATTTTGAGACAATGATCTCATTAAATTGTCCAAGCTCACCTTAAGCCTGGGATCCTCCTGTCTCGGCTTCCCTAGGATGCTGGAATCATGTACCACTCTACTGAGCTTCTCTTAAGTTTTTCTAATTTTTGAAGCCTATCATGAGCTGGACACAGTGGTATATGCTTGTAAACCTTAGTACTGTGGCAGGTCAAGATAGCTGACTGTCAAATTCAATGCCAGCTGTGGCAGCTCAGTGACTTAGCAGGATCCTGTCTCAGAATAACAATGGGCTGGGGATACAGCTTGGTGTAAAGGCCATGGATTCTATCCCTAGTGCCACAAAAAACAAAAACCCATCACAAGTCAGTATTTTTGTAAAATATGTTTTTTCAGAGAAATGTAATGAAAAAAAATTAGAATTAAAGTCCCCAATTTTTATTATTGGATTTAGCGATATTAAATGATTCTGGCCAACTATTATAAACGTTTTAGTGCTTATTTTAATAATTTAACCACAATGTAGACTTATAACAAGCAGTTCATATTTTGGCCCAACTGGGTCACATGTTGAAGTTACACCTATGTATATAATTCACAATTTGCTTCCTCTGGCCAGGCATTGTGGTGCATGCCTGTCGTTCTAGCACTCAGAAAGCTGAGGCAGGAGAATCACTGTGAGTTCAAGACCAGCCTAAACTGCATAGTGAGACCGTATCTCAAAAATACAATAAATAAATAAAAATAAAAAGATTCCTCGTAAGTGTCATGAAATGAACACTAAACAGTAAGACAACTTCATATATCTTCATCTATTTCTGGAAACATCAAGGATATAATTCCTTCCTGTTGGTAGAGCTTAGTTTAAATAAAAAACATAAGAAATTCTTTCCAGCAAAACTCTTAACACACTCTCCCAACCCAAGATCTAAAAATGCTTTTATCTTTAGCAATTACTCACTGATACCAACTACCTGACCCTATTATTGGTCTCAGTGAACTAGGCAGATAAAAATTCCTGCCATGGCAAGCAGACATTAGCCTGGCAGGTAAAAGAGGAAACAAGAAAT